TTCATTATTGATTCTGGTGCTTGTGAAAATGTTATTTCTCAGGAAGCTGTTGACAAATTGGGTCTTTCTTGTGAGCCCCATCCACATCCCTATACTTTGGCTTGGATTCAATGAGGGAGTGCGGTGACGGTGGACAAGCGATCGCTGATTTCTTTTTCCATCGGGCCGACATATCGCGACCAAGTGTGGTGTGACGTGGTCCCGATGGACGCATGTCATTTACTATTGGGCCGCCCTTGGCAGTTTGACAGAGCAGCTACTCATGATGGCCGTCGGAACACTTATTCATTTCTTTTCGGGGGGATCAAGATTACTTTGCTCCCTACTCCACCACGAGACTTGCCCCCGATGAGTGCTACCCCTTCGGTCCTCTTGCTTTCGCACTCCGCTTTTGCAGCAGCACTTCGAGACTCTTCTATTGTGTTATTATTGGTGGGGACTGATGCCACTTCAGACGAAGCTGTTCCATTAGCCATTCGACCATTATTGGCTGAGTTTGCTGATGTCTTTCCGGAGGAACTCCCTTCGGGCTTGCCACCACTTCGGGACATTCAGCACCATATTGATCTTGTACCGGGTGCTTCCCTACCTAATCGTCCTCATTACAGGATGAGCCCGGCTGAGCATGAGGAGTTGCGCCGCCAAGTCGAGGAGCTTATTCAGCGTGGGGCCGTACGTCGCAGTCTGAGTCCTTGTGCGGTTCCCGCCCTCCTGATACCAAAGAAAGACGATTCGTGGCGCATGTGTGTGGACAGTCGAGCAATTAACAAGATCACAGTTCGTTATCGGTTTCCTATTCCTCGATTGGACGATTTTCTGGATCAGCTTCATGGTGCCACTATTTTCACTAAGCTGGATTTACGGAGTGGCTATCATCAGATTCGGATTCGCCCAGGGGACGAATGGAAGACGACATTCAAAATCCGAGAGGGTCTATTTGAGTGGATGGTGATGCCATTCGGGCTGTCTAATGCTCCTAGTACGTTCATGAGGGTGATGAATCAGGCGCTACGGGATTTTATCGGGCGCAGTGTCGTCTTTTACTTTGACGATATTCTCATTTACAGCCGTTCCTTGGAGGAGCATCTCCAACATGTTCGGGAGGTATTACTTGTTTTACGTACCGAGTCCTTTTTTGCTGCACCTCATAAATGCATATTCTTGGCCTCTTCTGTGTTGTTTTTGGGCTTTGTGATTTCGGCAGAGGGCATTCGTGTTGGCGACAGTAAAGTGGCTGCGATTCGTGATTGGCCAGATCCGACCTCCTTTACCGAGGCCCGTAGCTTTCACGACCTTGCCTCTTTCTATCGACGCTTTATCTCTCACTTTAGCACTATCACGGCCCCGATCACGGATTGTCTCCATGGAGCGTCTTTTGTTTGGACACCAGCAGCTGCCGAGGCTTTCACATTGATTAAGCAAAAGTTGACCTCGGCTCCGGTACTCGTACTCCCCGATTTTGCGCGGACGTTTGAGCTGTCTTGTGATGCGTCCAAGGTAGGCATCGGCGCAGTCCTTAGTCAAGAGGGTCGCCCTGTCTCTTTCTTTAGTCAGAAATTGTCTGGACCTCGGGCTCGTTATAGCACATACGATGTTGAGTTTTATGCCATCGTTCAGGCAGTTCGTCATTGGCGTCATTACTTGTTTCATCGGGAATTTATTCTCTTCACCGATCATGAGGCTTTGCGACACCTGGCC